ATTGTATTTTTTTTTATAAAATTAATGTGTCTCTCGTATTTCTCTCTCTCTCAATGTGACTCTCCAACTCAAAAAATAAATCCAATATTATCCTTTGACCAACGTTTTTCATCGTTGACTTGATCGTCACAGTGCTGATGTGACAATCCACAGAAATGACATAACAACCTACGGTGATTGATAATGTGACGAATAACATGACATATTGGTTAAACATAATATATGAACTGCCACGTCAGTAGGTAACAGTAAACAACGACAAACGTTGGTTAAAAGACCATACTAGATTTTTTTTTATTAGTTAAAAAGTCACATTAAAATAAATAATAATATGATGACCATATTAGTTTTTCTTAAAAAAATATATATATAAAGACCTCTTTTGTTTTTTTGTCATGATTTATTTAATCCAACAATGGTGTAGGATAGAAGGTGGATAGCATGTCCTCAAAACATTGTTCAAAAATAAACATCTCATCAATTTATTTTTTCTAACAATACCCAAATATATCTTACATTAATTATTGCAACGAAGAGGGACCCTTTTAAATAATTTAGTACAAGTTTTGGTTGAATTATGTAAATTTAGACTTCTACTTAATTAATCTGAATCGATCCGAATCGTACACCTAATTTTAGTGAGTGAATCTTTTAGTAAGGATTTTTTGCTTACACAATGACTCGAACCTGAAATATTACTTAAATAATATTAAACTGTTTACCACTTAAATCAAAACACGTTGTTAACCAATATTGTTTAATATTATTAGTAATTAAGTATTAATTTGAAGTCCATTCGAACTTATATACCAATTGTGCCTTTGAAAATCTCTGTGCATTCAAAATTGTAGATTGAGTCAGTAGGTGGGTGGTTTATTTCAACTGTTGCAATGATTGATTGATTTAAACTATAAAAAATATTGTAGTCACTAAAAATAAAAATAAAAATTACAAACAAGTTGTCAGGCTTATGTGTCATTTTCAGTTTTAATAACTTATAATTAATTTTTATTAATGGCATATGTCATCATATAATTAGAACAAGTTTCATTATATAATTATTATCAATGGATTGATTCAAATAATAAGTAATTTAATATCATTTAAACAAGTCTTGAATTCGAATTTTCATGTATGTAGAAATTTCAACCGGGAGGTTTATTAACCGAAATTAGATGTGTGATACAGGTCCAGTCTAAATTAGCTATGGCGAAATTCTAAAATCGGGAGCGCGACAAAATAAATTAAGGGTAAGATCTAAAATTTTAAACCCGAATTCCCCCAAAACACATCTAATACGTTTAGCCACAATTCCTAATTCTTATACTCATTAAACGTTGGTAATTTAATCTGTTAGACAAAACCAAGACTTAGATTCAAATAATTACATTAATTGTACACAAACTTTAGGTTAAGTAGGGAAATAGAAAGTAAAAAAGATAACTAAATAAAAGAGTCAATTGCATATGAGTTGTTTAAATTATCGTCTTCGTTCTAAATTTTAAAATATCATATATGAGTCTTCAAATGATGGCCTAATTCTAAATCTAATACTTTTTGTGTAGAGTCCCATATTCAAATGATGGCCTAGTTCTAAACGTTTAGCCGCGCGGACGTGTCGAAGACACGTATTACCACGACCACGACCACGACCACGACCACGACCCGACCCGAGACGAGACGAGACGAGACGAGACGGCGGCGGCGCGCGAGAGTCCCCCTTGTTCTCTATCACTCAACAAGGAAGTGGGAAAGCCAAGCCTTAAATATCATTCCCAATAGTGTTTCCAATACTATGTGGGATTTGAGCATTACCAACACTTGTTCCCAATACTATGTGGGATTTGAGCATTACCAACACTTGTTCCCAATACTATGTGGGATTGAGCCTTAAATAGTGATATTGTTTTTGAATGTTTTGCTTAAAATTGCAATAATCGCGATTGATTGTAGATTGACTTTTAATTATGACATATTTAATCGTATAATACTAATGTAATTGGTTGTTAATTCAGTTGTTTTAAGGTGCATGATTGTTAATTGTTTCCTGAATAATCACATTGTATTGGAAACAAGTGTTGGTAATGCTCAATCCCACATTGTATTGGAAACACTATTGGGAATGGTATTTAAGGCTTGGCTTTCCCACTTCCTTGTTGAGTGATAGAGAACAAGGGGGACTCTCGCGCACCGCCGCCGCCGTCCGTCTCGTCTCGTCTCGTGGTCGTGGTCGTGGTCGTGGTCGTGGTCATACGTGTCTTCGACACGTCCGCGCGTATACTATCTTTTTAGAGAAAATTCTTAAGAAACAAAATCTTTTTTTTCAACGAATTTGGAAAATCGCAACGACAACTGTAGACTATCGCAACGCGATTTTCAACTATCGCAACGCGAAATGGAAAATCGCAACGCGATTTTCAACTATCGCAACGCGAAATGGAAAATCACAACGCGATTTTCAACTATCGCAACGCGAAATGGAAAATCACAACGCGATTTTCAACTATCGCAACGCGAAATGCAACGCGAATTTGCGATGATGGAGATCGCGTTGCGATTTCAACTATCGCAACGCGAAATGGAAAATCGCAACACGATCTCCAACTATCGCAACGCGAAATGGAAAAACGCAACGCGAAATGCAATGTGAATTTGCGATAGTGGAGATCGCAATACGAATTAGATATCGCATTGCGATTTTGTTGGTCATTTTCGCAAATCCAAAAAAAGTTGGTCAAAATCGTATATTATCTAAGATTTTTGGTCACTGAGGTTATTTTCTCTTCAAAATTTATACATGAAAAAAATGGCAAAAAGGTATTTGTGGTCTATGTAATTAAAAAAAATCGACCCTTATATTATTTATCTCTTAACGTGACCTTTTTAACTCATAAAATAAGCCTAATATAACTCTTTGACCAGAATTTTTCGTCGTTGACTGTTACGGTACTGAGATGACGCTCAACAGTAGTTGATAACGTGGCAGGTAATATGATAAATGAGATAAATTGGTAACTCAAACAAGTGAGATAGACTGTCACGTTAGCATCGTAACGGTCAAACGACGAAAAGCATGATTCGGTTCTACTTTAAACTTAATAAAACTCCTAAATGTTGAAAATGGTGGGGAAGGGAGGACGGGCAGAACATAAATGTTGAAAATGTGGTTCTTCCTTTATCTTAGCTTCAAATTTATCCCAACCACAAAAGGTAAAAAATCAATGTCAAAAAGCTTTTCAAATTCATCACCAAAAGGTTGAAAAAAAAACACTCGATTAATGCTTTAAATTCAACGCCCTAAAAGATGAAAAATTATATATGTGGGCTTTCAAAAAGGACTAATTATCAAATAGGTCGAATTCTATCATCAATATTCACATTGATTGTAAGTTGTACATTTCATCTTTATATTATAATAAATTAGCTGACCTTATTCCCATATGTAATGAGATAAGGGAGAGGTAAGATAGTAGGCTGCCCCCAACGCCAGATTTAGAGAAGCTTCCGTGGGAGACCTCCGACAGTCAGAATTATGAATTACCTACCGTGAGACTCGATCCCACGACCATAAAGTTAAGAGAACTAGAATTAAAAATATAATTTATCCGTGACATTAATAGAATTTCTTAACAGATTTTACATGGGTTTAGACAAAAAATTTAAAAATTTGAATAGTACAACTAAATTTAGAACTTTCACATAATATAAAAACAAAACCTATTGTCCTCGATTGCTCACTTTTAAAATTGACTGGATTAAATTGTTATGTTTATTTTGAGAGTTTAATTTGTTCATTATTGAATTTGAAATGGACCTTATAAGTTTTTTTAATCTATTAATTTTATTGATCATTTTATATCATATTATTAAATATCTGTAAATTACTATTATTTATTAAATTAAGTGATAAGAAATTTGACTAATCTTAAATATAATTCAAAATATTATAGAATATAAAAAACCTCGAAAAAAAAGCGTAAAATTAATTTACGTGCGTTTTGTACTTAAATTATCATTTTTGGTATATTTTAATAGTTAAACTTTCAATTTTTACAAAATCATACATAAAGTTCAGTTTTTGTTTAATTTTAGTACATGTCGTAAAAAACTTTAGTTTTTGTTTCATTGTAGTACTATGTTCAAAATTCAACGTTAAGTTTTGAAAAAAAATTAAAAGTTTAGATACTAAAACGGACTAAAACCGATAATTTAAGTACTAAATGTGTTAAATTTTTAATAACGGGTAATAAAATAAAATAAAAACTAAATTTTAAGTATGATTTTTAAAAAATTAAAAATATAAATATTAAAACTGATAATTTTAATAACTCATTTTACAATAATCCAAGTTATTCGTCGTCGTTCATAATATAGAGAAGAAACGGTCATCATAAGAGTGGTTGAGACGGCAATTCCAAATGGTCAATTTTACGTTGAGAAAGGTTTTAACTTTTGTTTTTCCTTGCAAAAGTGAGCAAATTTCTTCTTGCATTACGCTCTCAAAAACTTCACGCTTCCCTTAAATTCTCAACTATTCCCTTCATTTGCGCCGTGTCTTTGATTCCCTTTCAAAGGTTAAATTTTCCTTTTTGTTAAGCAAATCTTGCTTGGATTTTCCCACCGTGTTCCCCCCCCCTCTCTCTATATTTTCCAGGAAAATTTTGCCTTTGTTTCCCAGTTTTTTTTCTTCCCTCCTGTCCTTTACCTCTGTTTGATGTGCAGGAAAATTTGAAAGATTTATATATCTCTGTTTGATCCATTAACTCTCCCAGACAAAACTCCTGGTCTTTTGTCCTTTATGTTCCTCGAAATCCACAAAAAAATAGTCATTTCCCTTTTCTTTGACTTGTATTTTCAGTTCAATGAATCGTTGTCAATGTTCAAAACTTCAAATTTCTCCCCCCGCCTACCGTAGTTGAATTCCTTTTCCCACCTGTTTACGTTATCGGATTCTTCTAAATCTTCAAAACCCTGTTTTTTAAAGCGAAAAACACAACAATATGTGTTCGGAAACAAGTCCTCGGGTGTCGTTTTCGCATGATCTAATCCAAGCAACGACAGAACCGAGTGAATCTCGAAGGGACACAATGCTGTTGAAGCCCTGTCCGGATTTCGAGTTCAGCATTTGCAGCAGCATCAACTTCGAGCAACAATATTCATCGGCAGATGAATTGTTTGCAAACGGAATGATACTTCCAAAAGTGGTCAAAAAATGTGAAGCTCCATCGGTTGCTTCGCTTCCTCCACGGCCTAAATCATCGTCGTCGTCGGTCGAGGTTCGGATCAAGGACATGGAAGAAAAGACGCAGCCCAAGTCGTTTTGGGGTTTCAAGAGAAGTAGCAGCCTCAACTGTGACAAAAAGAAGAGCTTGATTTGCTCTATACCGCTTCTTTCGCGAAGCAATTCGACCGGCTCATTCGCCAATCCGAAACGATCGTCGTCTATAAAAGACGGTAACAAGCATGGTAATTCAATGGCTTATCAGTTTCCTCAGAAGCCTCCTTTGAAGAAAAACAATGGGAATTATGCATACGGCAATGGCGTTCGAATCAGTCCGGTCTTGAACGTTCCGCCGCCTTACATCTCGAAAGGGACGGTGAATCTCTTCGGTTTAGGTTCCTTGTTACGTAATGGGAAAGCTAAGAAGAGCAGGAAATGAAATTTCACCTCCATTTTTCCCATTATTGATATTCACTATGTACATGTTGATGCATAATCTTTTGAGTGTGTGACAAAGCTCAGGAGACAAAAGGAAAACAGGTACCCCTTTGATCTCATGGCTTGTGGGACTCGATCAAATATTGTGTAGACATGTTCTTTCCGACTCTTCATTTTTTCTTAAAGTACTCATGTCCGACATATTGAAGAACTTAGGATAATCTAAACATACTCATGTCGGACGCACACCCGAGTTCGAGTAACACAATTTAGAATTGTAGATAAAGAGGATTTGGGTTTGCTTATCTTTTTATTGAAGGAATTTTCTTCTTTTTTGTGGTGTCACCATTTGTTTTATATAAAAATTGTTTGTACTATAGCTTCTGGAACTGGTATACACTTGTAATCTAATCATGGAGCATTGGTTGTTTGGTGCCCTTGCAGTGGTCTTTTTTTTTGTGAAATTGTTTCTTGCAAGGCAACAAAACTAAGCTCTTCCCTTGTCATTCCATCATTTTCCCTTTAACAAGCATTACTTGCATTCGTGTTTAATATCTACACATTATTAGTGAATCAGGTATCCGAATATGGGGACAGTGAATCATTGGTGAAATTTATTATGTACAGTGAGAACTTTCACTTCCAAAAATTACAAAATAACAAACGAATTCTTCAAGTCTTCATCTTCGTCTTCGTCTTCGAGTGTATAGTGACTGAAAATCGTGTATGGTTTCCATTCTTGTTGTTGGAGTTTATCGGTGCATGAATTCATTGCTTGCAACTATGACACATATCGATATATAACCCTCTAGGCTCTAATGATCGTCGGAAATTGAAATACATGACCCCGAGTAATCTATCTCAAGGCAATGCATTTTGATTCTTGAGTTGGTATCAAATTACAAGTTTATATAGATGGGTGGTTAAATTCGAAAAGTTTAAGAAGTTTTAGGATGAAATTGCAAGTTTTTGAATGCTAAAATATTGATTTGAGAACTTTATTAAGGTGATGGAAATTTTAGAAATTAAAGTGCAATGACCGTAATGGTGAATGATCATTATGAATTTAGTGGAAAATATAAGGTGAATTTTAGAAAAACAAATCATAATTAATGGCTTGATTGTGTATTTGGCACAAGTTGAAGGGTTGATACTGGAAATAAATATTTATGGGATCGAATAAGCATTTTGAGAAGTTTGAAATTTTGATGGGAAACATGATTTAGTTTTATATTGATTTAAGTATCGATTTTATCTCTATCGAATTTTATAATTAAACTTAGATTATGTTAGTTCGATACTAACATATAGTTTGAATATTTTATGTTATTATATAACATTCACAGACCACGATAAATATAGTATCCAAGTAACTCAAAAGGGAAGGAAAAGATGAGTGATTGAGAAGATTATCGTGGATAAGGTTTGATAATGAGGCAAAAGTGAGTGCATTTAATTTGTATTTATGTTATCGAGTAAACATTAACTTGCGATGAGCCATTGTTGGAGTTACTACATTAGGAAGTGACTCCTAATGTTATGTGAATTGTGATTCAAGCCTATATGTTCATTCGGTAAGTAATAGAAGTATGGAATGAGTTAGGAAAGTGCCTAGAATTCAAGATTTCAACAGTAAGTTCAGAAATTACTATAAATTATACTGAAATGATTAGAGAATGATCTTTATAATGTTGAATTTGTATATCAGTATAGTTTTGTTTAAAACAAACGACTAATGATTTCGATTAGTGTACAAAGAGATATGAATTTTTACTTGAGTATGGGTCAGAAAACAGAGCAGCAAAATCTGTTCAAAACAACTCCTGTAAGTCAACTTTGAAAATTCATTATAAATTGTACAAGTGGAACTAGATGAAGTGACATATATGATTAGATTTTTATTTGAGTCTAGGTTTCAGTGGTATGAGCCAAATAATTTTTAAGCATGTATATTAATATAAAATAATATTTCTTTGAAGGTAGTGTAAAATGTCAGAATATAAAATTTTGATAAATTGTGTAGTCGAAGCATTTAAAAACAAAGAATTAATTCTAAAACTTAGTGAGACTTATATTTTGATTTATTAATAAAGTGTCAAAGTGAATGCAATTTATTTATTTATGTAGTTATTTTGATTGAGGATGACTTGTGATAAGTCAACCTCGTATTATTTAAAGCATGTTTTCTATTTTAAATATGAATTATTTTCATAATGTTTATATAAAATCTTATGAGTGTTTAGGGTGTGAACTGTCAAAATTATGATTTTTATGAGAATGATTGGTAAATGATTTTGAGTTGAAATATTGATTATGAAACGAATAAGATATAATTTGAAAACCCATTGTATGTTGCATTGAGAGTCGTACGTACAATTGGCATGTCATGAGGTAGAGTGATTACGATTATGATCTAATACATTTGTGTAAATTATGTGTAGCACCATTGGTGCAAGTGATATGATTGCACTTGGAGTGGATATTATGATTACGATGATAGCACTGAAGTGCTTATTGCGCACACTCATCTGACTCACATACATTGCATTCTCTTACATATACATTGAGATATAGAAGTAAATGTGAAAGTTATGACAAGAATATGAAAGAAAGAAATATGAAATTAAAATGAAAGTTCTGAAATATGTTCGAATGAAAAGAAAATGAGTTGTTTATGACATTTGAGGTTGATTTACATTATTTTTGATAAAAATCTTGTGATGATGATTTTTAGGTTTTCAAGAGGAAAACGACTTGACTAGCTAGATTTGAAAGTTTTAATGTTTTTTTTTATTTAAATTACAGTTTTATGTTGTATACTTTATGGAATTTATGTTTTATATCAATTTAGCTATATTATTACCTCACTAAGTTTTACTTAGTGCATGATGATTTTCATGCGTAGGTTCGAATATAGAAAAGGACGTGAAGTGAGGAGCTTTCTGAACATCTTTTGGAGGTCAAACCTACCTACATAATCAGTAAGACATCCTATCTTTGACTTATCAGTGGCATGTACATTACACCTGATGGTATGTTTTACTGAATTTATTTTAAAAGGGTATGTAATAGTAAACTAAGATTAATTTTTAGTTTTGCCTAATTTTAGTTATGATCGTATTTATGAGTGAATAATATAAACATTATGTTTTAAATGGTTTTTAAATTAAGTAGTGTTTAGGCAGTTTTATATAGTTATGAAGCAACACTAGACTGCTTGAAATCTATTTCATTTTCAATGATCAAATATTATTTTATGATTTTATAGGAAAAGGAAAAGTTTTTAAGTAGAAATAGAAAATGTTTAAAAAGGAAAAACAATTTAAGCATTTATGATCAATGGATGTCTGAAAGATTAATGTAACTTTTATAACTCGTATTTCGAGACGTATACAAGTTATGGGTGTTACACGAAGAATCAACGTTTTATATCCTGTGAACTTTAGGATGAAAATCATGATCCTACATGATTATGACGACCAATCGACGAAAACTATGATAATGTATGAGTAGGAGGATGGTAGGGATTATGTCAGTGGCTGTGGTCGCGATCGGAAAGGCGATAGCGGAGGATTAATGTTATGATTTAGGATTTTGGGGTTGTTTTATAATCTAAGAAAAGTTAGTGTTTATATATATATATATCATAATATTTCTAATATTTAATTTTTTTTTCAAAATCACCATATTGTGACATATGTCACTTAATGAGGAAAATTAACATCGTTGACGTTCCGGTCACCTAAATGGGTAACTTTGTAACGCTAAGCACTTGGATGAGTTAAAAAATAGTTTATGCACCTATTTAAAAAAAAACGATACAGTTTGGATACTTATTTTGGTATTAAACCTACTTTTTCATATATAAATCAAATATCAAAGATATTATAAAAAATTAAAATAAGGGTAAATTACACTCTTATTTGTTGAACTTTACTCTTTTTCCTATTTCACTTATTGTACTTTCAATTTTTTTAATTTGTTCATTGAACTTTAGACATTGAACTTTTTTTTGTCACTCGACCGTTAAATTTCTAATGGCGTTATGACTTTGTTAAATTAAAATTGAAAAAAATTAAAAGTATAATGAGTGAAATAGGAGAGAGAGTAAATTTAGCGAGCAAATGTGTGGCATGTTTTATTATTAAAATAAACCACGTAAGCACTTTATTACCGAGTAAACGATCGAGTGACAAAAAAAGTTTAATGTCTAAAGTTCAATTAGTAATTTAAAAATTAAAAATACGGTGAGTGAAATAAAATATAAAGTAAAGTTTAGTGTGTAAGCATAGAATTTTCTCTTAAAATAATTACAAGTTCATTTTCGATCAAATTTACACGATGAATACATCATTTCATCATCTGTCGTCTCTCCCATTAAAGTAGTAAAAAAAGGAAAAAGAGAGGGGACTTGCCTTTCGTTCTCAAACCCAAAAATTGGCAGAGAATTTCAATTCCAAAAACCTCCCAAATTCCAATGCAACAATCATAGTAATCCATCAAACACCCAAATCCCCTTTTCCCCTCACAATTGGCGATGTCAGGTCCATCGCTCATGGATTCCCTGTTCCAACGCAGTTTAGAGGACCTAATCAAAGGCCTAAGACAACAGCTGATCGGCGAGCAAGCTTTCATCTCCAAATCCCTCGAAGAAATCCGCAAGGAGATCAAATCGACTGACCTCTCCACCAAATCCACAGCTCTCCTCAAGCTCTCCTATCTCTCCAATCTCCACTTCCACGACATGTCCTTCGCCGTTTTCCCCGCCTTGGAAGTACTCTCTTCCCCTCGTTTCTCCCACAAGAAGATTGCTTACCACGCGATCTTGCTTTCCTTCCACGATTCCACTCCCATTCTTCTCCTCATTACCAATCATCTGCGTAAGGATCTTAACAGTACCAATGAGTTCGAAGTAAGTCTTGCTCTTCAATGCTTGTCTAGAATCGCTAACGTTGATCTCGCTAGAGATTTGACCCCGGAAGTTTTCACTTTACTGTCTAGTAATAAGCTTTATGTTCGGAAAAGGGCCGTAGCTGTAGTTTTAAGGGTTTTTGAGAAATACCCGGATTCCGTTAGGGTGTGTTTTAAGCGTTTAGTTGAGAATTTAGAGAATTCTGATCCACAGATTTTGTCGGCGGTTGTTGGGGTGTTTTCTGAACTTGTTTGTAAAGATCCCAAATCGTATCTTCCTTTGGCACCCGAGTTTTATAAGATTCTGGTTGATTCAAAAGCAATTGGGTTTCAATTAAGGTCTTGAAGATTTTTTCTAAGTTGGCTCCTCTTGAACCGAGGCTAGCAAAACGGGTTGTTGAGCCGATTTGTGATCTTATGAGGAATACTGGGGCGACGTCATTATTGTTTGAGTGCATTAGGACTGTGGTTACTAGTTTAAGCGAGTATGAATCTGCTGTGAGGCTTGCGGTTGGAAAGGTTCGTGGGTTTTTGGTGGACGAGGATCCAAATCTTAAGTACCTCGGATTGCAGGCTCTTAGGATTGTAGCTGAAAAGCACTTGTGGGCTGTGGCGGAGAATAAGGAAGTTGTAATTAAGTCATTGAGTGATGCGGATCCTAATATAAAGATTGAATCCTTGCGTCTTGTGATGGCAATGGTATCTGAACATAATGTGTCTGAAATGTCCAGGGTTTTGGTCAATTATGCACTTAAATCTGATCCCGTGTTTTGTAATGAGATTCTTGGTTCTATTCTGTCAACTTGTTCGAGGAATCTTTATGAGATTATTGTTGACTTCGATTGGTATGTATCACTTCTTGGTGAGATGTCTAGAATCCCACATTGCCAGATGGGAGATGAAATTGAAAACCAGTTAATTGATATTGGTTTGAGGGTCAAGGATGTTAGGCCAGAACTTGTTCACGTTGCTCGTGATTTGCTGATTGATCCCGCCTTACTTGGAAATTCTTTCTTGCATGGTGTATTATCTGCTGCAGCTTGGGAATCTGGAGAATATGTTGAGTTTTCCAGGAACCCATTAGAACTCATGGAAGCACTATTACAGCCTCGCACTAATTTGTTGCCACCATCTATAAGGGCAATTTACATTCAGTCTGCCTTTAAAGTGTTAGTGTTTTGCCTGCATACTTGCATTATGCAAGGGGAAAGTATTGCTCCCTCTGCATCCCTGGATTATTTGCCTTCTGGAGTTTCAGCATCTGCTTCCTACGAATTATTTGACGATTTTTCTGTTGAAAATGGTGCAGATGCGACTGTTGTACATGGCCAGACACGTGCTTCTGCTCCTATCACCGAGGAGTCCATTGTAGACCTATTGAATCTGGTTGAGTTAGCTTTTGGCCCTCTATTAGGAAGCCATGATGTGGAAGTACAGGAGAGAGCACGAAATTTGCTTGGTTTTGTTGATTTGACAAAACCGGAAATTCTGAATTCTTCTATTCAAGAAAAAAAGGATTCAGAGGGAAAAGGAGTGGAAACTTCCAAATCATCAAACTGATGCATGATGCCTTTTCCAAGGAGCTTGGACCTGTTTCTTTAAGTGCACAGGGAAAAGTTTGTCTACCAAATGGGCTAGTGCTTAAGGAGAACCTCAGTGACTTGGAAATGATATGTGGTGATATTGAACCATCTTCATCGAACTCATTTTCTTTTGGAAATCCTAATGAGGAGAAGGATGGGTTGTCTTTTTCTAGCCTTCAGATTAAAGAAGACTCTGAACAACCACACGAGTCCACTTCGCTGTTGGCTGAGCATCGTAAGCGCCATGGGTTGTATTATCTTCCTTTGAGAAAGAGTGAAATAATTTCAAATGATTATCCTCCCGCCAATGACCCCACATTACAGGGTGATATCAATGATAATGCTGATCATCTTGTTAAACTCACAGCGGAATCACTTGTTCCCAAGAGAAAACCGAACCACAGCAAGCCTAGGCCTGTGGTGGTGAAATTGGATGAAGTGAATGAGAAACCTGTTGCAATGAAGCAGCCTGAGTCGAGAGATAATTCACTTTCGGGTGCTGTTCGTGAAGTTCTTTTTGGTAGTGAAGATATTCTACCCACTTCGTCTCAAAGCAACCTTTCTAATTCTAGCAAGAGAAAAGGAAAGGAAAAACAACATACAGATCCTCATGTGGAATCAAAAGAAAGTGCAGTTGGAGATGGAAATTCTAGTTCAAGAAGGAGAAGTCAAGGTAAAGAGAGAAGACAGAGAAGTCCAAGGAAGAAAAATGACGAGGAAAGAAAAGATACTGTTCAGAAAGAAAAAAAGAACCGTAGTGGTAGGCATAAATCAATACAAAGAGCCGAGGAGCCTTTGAAAGTTCCTGCACAAACGTCAGTGATTCCTGATTTCCTTCTATAGCATCAAAATTTTTTTATCCGTTTGTCAGAAACTGCTTAAGAGAAATTGGCTGATAAATCATCCCTTGTATTCTGCCTTCTTGTGTGCTCAAGGTTAGTTCTACTGTAAACCTATAGTTTATGTTTTTATCTGGGGTTTGTGGTTTATTGGAATTTGAACACTGGAATTGTATTTGGATGTTACACATTTCGAAATTCAATTTTGAAACATTCTGGCTCTCGAGTCTCGATTTGAAAAGCCTCAAGTGTAGGTATGGTTTTGCTTTGCGCTTTGCTTTTCATTCAGTTTTACTACTACTAGGTCCGATGATATGCTATCTAATATCTTTGTGCATACTTACGCTTAATTGATATATGTGTGTGTGTCTGTATATCATCTTCATGCTATGCATATTCTTCTTATCTGAGATGTGGAAATCATAGCATCATTGTTTCATTATTCATTCGAAAATCCGGGCTTTACCGACTCGGTGCAATGAATAGAGTTCATGTTACATTGTGGTTGATCTAATGCTAATAATCTACATTTTACAATCTCGGCACCTATGCAGATTGGCTTTGCTCTACAATACAAACAATCTATATACGGGTTGTTATCCGAGTAGTTGACTCTTGAATACATGCCTATGATTACACGACATGTATATACGGGCTTTACCTAATGTTTAGTTTTTGAATTCGAGTTTTAACATCGGCATCTTTAAAGGAACCTTGTCATGATTCAAGTCTGTAAAGTCTTACTTTCTACTTATTTACATACCATTAATTTTGGAGTTTTAATTTTCATAAATTGTTTACATTCGTATTTATATTTTTAATTTTATACAGCTTATGATATTTCTTCGGTATAAATGAATTAATTTGAAGTTTCAATTCATGGGTTGTTTCGTTGGCCCAAATGTGACATTCGTTGGCCCGTTGAATATCCTCTTTGTACTCTTCATGTTTCAACAAAGGAATTTTGGTTCATTTGGTGAAATCTTTATGTCCTTTACTCCCCATCCATCAGAAATGGTTTATGCTGGTTTTTGGCTCTGTTTTTGTGTAAGGTCCATTGCAATATAGAAAGTGTAATGACCCGGTCAAGATCCGTCGACCATGTCATAAGAACATAGTATAAAATTGTCTTTTTTTTTTTCTTTTAATACTAAGATCATGTTCTTATATGCATAGTTGTCTGAAATGAATCGGATTGGCCGGTTGAACAGAGAATCATTGGTTAAGACTTAAGTCGGTTGAATTGGTGGGGCAAAATCAAAAGTTGTACAAATGGTCGTAGGACAACTGAAGTTATCGGATTTCTACGCTTATTATAATGTCTTAGTGTTCATTTTATAACATTTTAATAAATTTAATGATCATTTTGTAGCTTTTGAAAGTTCAATAGCCAGAAAGATCATTTGAACATACTTCAACGACCTCTAGTAAGAGTAATAATCCAACACTGATTTCCATTAAACAAGATTACGTCTGCAACAACTGGTAGAATATCTCAGATAGATCACACAGAAACAGTAAACAAAGTGGTGAAACGTGACAATGACAGAGGCTATGAACTTAGTGCTTACTAAAGACATCAAAACAAAGATAATCCCACACCGCTGCTATAATAAACCACATTCATATGGTGAAAAGGAGAGGTTTTTCAGCACTTTGGAAAGGGAGTCCCACAGGTGGAGGCAACTTTCCTGGCATTTGGTGTGTTGACGAATTTCTTGAGGTTGGGGTTCCTGAGGTATTGGCAGAGGCAAGGCTTCTGTTCCTTGATCTTGCTGCAGCACGCCTTGGACGGTGGAGCTGATGTTATGGCACCCACGCAAGGGCTCAGCTGCGTCGGGTTGCACGTCACCGCCGTCGACAGCTCCGCTTCCGTCAGCAGTAGGAGCACCACCACTGCTGCCGCCGCGAACACTGCCGTGTATGATGTCTTCATTCTTCTCTTCTGGTCTGTGTTTGAGTGTATGTGAGCTTTGTGTGTATGGATTTGTTTGATGCAAACTATGCGGAGTTCCCTTGTTATTTATAGTGGTGAGGGTTTGGTCAAAATGGGAAATTGAGTTGCAAATTAGTGGCAATTTTCATGTGGAATTTGGACAAAGAATTGTGAAATACACTTTTTTAGTTTGGACCACTTGTATGATTAATTCGGTGAGTTTACTGAATGAAGAAATTCACAAACCAATAAATAAAAATTTTAATTATAAGTTGATATAATAAAATAAGATGTTAATTTTTTATATAAAATTAAAAGTTATTAATATTGTGAATAGAATATATTAGATTTAGAGCGGTATCTTATAATAAGTTTGTACGGTATATTGAAAGATGTATATGAGGTTTAAATTCGACAAGTTTTAACTTGACCATACAATGGTTGAGATTGTTTTTAAAATTTTGAGTTTGGACTAGATTTAAATTTATAATGAAATTCTCTTGACTCGACCCAATAATATTATAATTATTTTTTATATATTTGAGATAATTAAAATAATATATCTCCTTGTATATATTTTTAGTTATATCCTTATTTTACTTAATAAAAATAGAATATTATATCTAAAAAATTAAATCAAATTTCAAGTCTGATAAAAGCTCTCTAAATTTAGATCGAATGATAGATGAAAGAATAAAATACTCGAATCAGGTTCGGGTCAATCAAAATCAAACCCAACATAATATATATCTATCTATCTCTAACAATAACTAATCTAAATTATAATTATAAAATAAAATTATTTTTTGATTAAGCGGTAATTATAAAGTAATATTTATTCTAAATATTCTCAACCATTAACAATGAACACATAATCACTCTGTTGCAGTTGCTGGTACTCAAATCCGTAATATCTAAGAATAATAATAATTCATTTAATTACTGAAATAAATTTATCGGTGATAATAAAATAAAATTACAATGTGAAATTTAAGCATGCAAGTGAAAGCTACTTGATCTAATGATTTCAATCCACTTTAACACAATGCGGAAAGTAGTTTTTTTCTTTTCTTTTTATATTCCTTTATTGGATGGATGTTTTGTTTTCGTGACAATGATAAAATAGTGATACTCTTTTTGAATAAGAATAAAAATAAAAATTTAATTTTGAAGCTTATTAATATCCGTGTTGCTACTTATTGAAGTATGGGTAATTTAAAGTTAGGTCAAAGGTGGTTCCCTTAGTTCATGATCAGATCATATTTAAGTCAATTGAGATTTACATAGGAATTTACAGATTACCCATCAAGAGCGATAGTAGAATTTGAATTTAGCCTTATAAGTTCAAATTTCTGAATCTCAACTACTTGTGTCAACACTCGCCCGCTAATTTATTGAAGTAACCAAGATTATTCTTGAAGGTCACACAGCCAACAAAGGTCTCTAAGGAAATTATGTAACATTGTAACAAGCTGATCACATGCATAATCAGAATAAACATCCAAAAAAATCAGATTATTAAATTTTAAAGAATACTATTGAATTTAAATTTTAAGAGAGTAAACTTAATTTATCATATTTAATTATAAAGAATTATTTTATTAGGCAAAAAATAGGGTAAACTACATGTTTAATACCCAACATCACTTTTGTTATGTTTTGGTCAGTTCATTATTTTTATTTCAAAATCGTACCTAACATTATATTTGTTTCATTTTGGTCACCTACCATTAAAAAATTAAGGCATAATGCCAAATTAGCCCCCCAATGTTTTAAAAAATGACATTTTTCCCGCTATTCTATTTTTTGGAGCATTTGGCCCCAACGTTTCATTTTAGGTCAAAAGAACCCCTAACATTTGACAAACAATCACAATGGTCGCTTATTTTTTGGGAGATATTTAGCCCTCATTCATTTTAGGTTAAAAAAACATTATTTTGGAGCGTTAATCGTACTTTAGCTAATAATTTTATCTACAGAGGGTTTTATTTTTGCCTCCAAGTGAATGTGAGGGCCAAAATGCTTTCAAAAAATAGAATAGGGGACAAAATGACCATTTTGGTAACATTTGGAGCTATTTTTGAAGTTAGTACAAAAAAATCACGGTGATGCTAACATGTAACCATAAACATATCACATCATCACTTATTTTTTTAAAATTACATCAATAATTCCGTAATCTTAACGACGGATGATCAAAATGAAATCAAAATAACATCATATATAATATTAAAAATAATTGAGTGACAAAAACATAACAAAAATGATAGTATTAAGAGGGCTAAGGAAATTTTGGTACTTAGTATTGTTTATTGATTATAAACAATAAGTAAAACAAATTAATAAATACTCTTACAAACAATTTGAGTCTTAATTATTTATTGATAAAATTTTTAAGATTTGAATAGTGTCTTCATGGCAAAGATTTTCCTCAAAATGGTGTGGACATAATGAAAAAACACTTGTAATTTAGCTACAAACTTTGTCCATAAAGTCAAAAGTCAGACAACGATGGCCACCGAAATATGAGGTTTGCCCTTCCAAATGTTCCATTTGTATCCACATCTCTTGTAACTTCACATGTCCAACAAAATTGGACCTTTGTCTTTTTTTTGGTTGTACTCCTGATTCTTAAGATTTTACCTTGATTAATTTGGATAAATTCGTACACCTAGTATTGGTGGGTGAGTATCGCAACAGAGATTTTTTGGGTATACAAGAACTCGAACTTGAGATATGCTTAAGCGATATCAAACTGTTTTCCACTTGAATCAACATGATTGGTAGGACGGGCATCCAAAGGACATCCAAATAAATGGGCTTTACAATAGAGAAAATAACTTTAGTGACCGAAAATGTCTTATAATATACGATTTTAACCAAATTTTTTTGGATTTACGACAATAACCAACAAATTTGCAACGCGAACTCCAGTTTCGCAACACAGTTTCCAAAATCGCAACGTGGTTTTCAAATTCGCAACGCGATTCTCCAAAATCGCAACGCGGTTCTTCAAAATCGTAACGCGGTTTTCAAATTCGCAACGCGTTATGAAAATAAACGCGCTTTGCGAATTTGACTTCTGTGTTACGAATTTGACTTCTGTGTTGCGAATTACAAATTCGCGTTGCGATTTACATATCGCGTTGCGAATTTGAAAAACTGATTTGCGAAATTGGAGTCCGCGTTGCGAATTTGTTGGTCATTTTCGCAAATCTAAAAAGAGTTGATTAAAATCGTATATTATAAGACATTTTCGGTCACTGAAGTTATTCTTTTTACGATAAGCATGTGAATTAAGACTGGCAATTAATTAATAACATGCTCTTAATTGATTAATTATTAATTTCTTTTTGCCTAAACATTATATATATTTTTAAATAATGGTATGTGCTATTGGGTTGATCATGATGATTATGGGCATGAATTCTACTGCCCACCAACGCTAATGCTATGATTAAGTCCTCATTGCAAATATTTACACACTCATTACTTTTCCTTTTTCCATTTTACGACAAGTAAAAAAGTTTCGTGGTACATCAAATGATTTATTTAATGGATTTAGGCATTAGATAAGTTAATTATTACTACTCCATTTATAATAATAATAGTTTCATTCACATTTTCATACTTTAAATAAAATTAGTATAATGTATTATGATTTAAAATATTTATAAAATATAGTCGTTGGATGAATCTAAATAAACGACTGAGGTTAAAATTTATATATTAATATTATTTTTTTCTCAATCTCAATCATTCGTTTAGATTCAATGCTTATATATATTTTATAAAATTAATTAATTTTATATTTCGAAAATAATTTTATCATTATAATTGATTTTTTTAATAACAAAACTTGAATTAGAAAAGGTTATTGTTCAATCTCAGCTCATGATCAAATATGCCGACAAGAATTAGGTGTTTGAACAAAATCAATTATAAAGTAAAAGGCTGGCTAATTTCTCATTAGTCCTTGTACTATGCATAAATATAAAATTTAAATCTATAAGTATAGTACATGAAGTAATGGTAATTTCATTTGAAAGATATAAAATTCATCGGTTGAATTAGGATTAAATTTATAAAATTTAAGAGCTAAAAATGACCAAATCAGAACATAAAACTACATCCTCTATAATTTACGTATTATTTAAGGACTCATAGTGAAATTTTACCTAAAAAACAAAGTTTCCCGCTTGAAATAATAACATGGCCTGTAATTTCACCTTTAATCTTCACGCCTGCCTTGTTTTGCTGTCTCTCTCCAGTCAAGATAAATCGAGATTTGCTAGTTTTTCAATGGTGTCCGCAATGATTGTCCCACTTTTGGCAAACCCTATCTTAAAATTTACTTTATTTTATTACAAGTACGATTATAATTATATTGTAATTATATATTCGTGCGAGGTAATTAAAATTAATCATTATAACATATTATGGTATTAGTATAGAAATATATCTGAATTTAAGTTGAAATTTTGGAACTTTGACATTAGCCATCTTCAATGCAGTTTTGGTTTGGTATAAATATGGTGATAGTGTGAAACTAATATGATTGGGTTCATTGCACAAAAAGAACAAATGATGGGTTCACTCTGTATTGAATGATTAGGCATGCCGATTGCGCAATCCACATTACCTCCACACGAATCAAATAATAATAATAATTTATTCTATCTATTATATCATCAATCACGGTTGATTGTTATTTCAGAGATCACATCAGTATCATAATAATTAACGATTAAAACTATTAGTTAAAAGATCACATTAGTTTATTTTTATAAGTTTTAAGATCATATTAAATACAAAAAATGTCAAGAGTCACATTGATTTATTTTTTGAAAAAGTATAGGGTCCCAGGTGCTATTTTGTGTGATACTAATAAGGGTTAATGGTACCAATGTATTTTAAATTAGAGTTAACATAAAAATAAGTGTCTAAACTTTACCTCTAAAAATATTGTAGTGCATAAAGAATTTTTCGCTAAAATTAGGTGTCTAACATTTTCATCGGAACACTTTTAAGTGTTTGGAATGTAACGGTCGTTAAATTTGACCGTTAAGTGACA